AGTTCCTACCAACCGGAGCCTGTGCTATAGGTTTCGCCTACTTTGTGCCAGTTACCTATTTCAATAAATATATTGAATTTGTGACATAATCACAAATATATTTTTGTTTCTATCCCTTCGTTTTTGTTAGATCTTCTGTGAACAAGTCACGAAAAGTTCAAGAATCGGCAACAGGCCACATCAGGCCTACTCTTCTGCGCCAACATAGCTTCGTTATGTTATGTTATACCAGCATCGTTGGCCATTGTACAGGATATCGAACAACTTCATGTAGTATGTTTCTTGCTTAGTATTTTATTTGATGGAAATAAAACCCAACGTCGAGTTTCATCAAGAATTTTTATCAATTCAGTGATCTATAAAAATATACTGAACAGATAAGTACATGCCTACACCACAGACACAGAATTGAGATTTGTACAAAAATAACGAAATGTAGAAGAGAATTAGAAGAAACAACATGTAGATATTTCCCTTGGTTCCACGTAACATTTTTCAGCACCTTAGAAAACACGAATTCTAATTTAGAAAAGTTAAAACTAGGCAATAGACTTAGTCAAATTTAACTGTCTAATTTTAGAAATTTGTGACAGATAAATGCAAATTGAGAATTATTCTAAGAATCATTATAGTTGTAATTCGTTTTATAATCATTAGTCTGGTAGAACATAGCCCAGAAACGTATTGCACATTGTGATTGACTTACTTTTAAGGGTGCAGTATAAAAGGCTACCGCTTTAATTCGGAAGCGCCTTCACTCAGGTGAATAGCCTGCGGTGTTTCTCGCTCATAGCAAATTAAGAGATTCATGAGTAAAATTGATCACAAATAATTATTCACGGTATTGCTGTACGCGGCAGCTGCTTTCAGAACTTATATATATAATTCATCTCACGTTTAAGAACAGCCCGTAACCTAGGCGGTAAAGAGCTATTCGAATTTTCAATTCCATTAAACATTTAAACTTTTTCTGATCATCGCTGAGGCAGTTTCTCTATATACATTAACCCTAAGATAAATCTCCCCGTAGCCCATCAATGATTTGCAAATCTAAAATCATTCAAATAATGTCGACCGCCCAGATTCAAACATTCATTCCTGAAAACAAATATGTTTCCCTAATTCAACTGGTCCCAACTTAGTGTCCCATCAAAAGCATCTAATTCCAAGAATAACGAACCGTACCCCTCACAAATGGTCCCAAAAATACCCATAATACCTTCTGCACAGGTCTTTAATACTCCCACTTCAATGATCACGAAGCACAAATGGAGCACTAAAAATAAGGAATCGATAAGGCCACTGTAACTTAACAAAACAAATGTGAGGATCCAAAGGTAGCATGATCAGGTCAATAGTACCGTAATATATTCTGCACATGTCGGTAATTTTACCACTTCAATGAACAAACCCCAATTGCACTAAAAACAGGTCATCAATAAGGCCACTTCAACTTTACAAAACAAGTGTGAGGATCCAAAGGTAGCATGATCAGGTCAATAGTACCCTAAAACATTCTGCACATGTCGGCAATGTCCCCACTTCAATGATCAAACCCCAATTGCACTAAAAACCAGGCATCAATAACGCCACTGTAACATAACAAAACAAGTGAGAGGACCCAAAGGTAGAATGATCAGGTCAATAGTAGACCCCGTCAAGGGAGAGCTTCTGGCAGTTCTCGAGCATGACGAGGGCGTTGTCGAAGAGATCAGCTTCAGGGGCCCCGAAGCCCAGGACTCCGTAGGGCGCGAGCTTCACGAGGACGTCCTGGCAAGCGGGGTCTGATGTTTGGGGCTGCAGCATCTTCAGGGCCTTCAAGATTTGTGCTCGCGTGCCTTCTGTAATATTGCATCAAATGAGGCATCGATATTCTAGAATACTGAAGGTAGTTTGCAGCACGAAGACAAAAGAAGACGTCCTAGGCCTTGAGTAACATGCAGCACGAAGCTATTGGTGTTGATGCCGTAAAGTAAATAAAATACAAAGCTGTGCTTTGATGTACTACCATTCTACCAAACAATGTTCGATTTATGATGCCGGTAGTCTCACCCTGAAGCAGGAACCAGCCTGCTTCAAATAAATAACTCCAATGACTACACTTCTGTTGTGCTTCAATTTTGCACTCATTCATAATGTACAGGCGTATGCATGGAGCGCATACCACCACAAGAACAAACATTTAATTCAAGCAGGGGACCGTTTACGATCTCAAAACACAATTGCTCAAGTATTGCTGTGTATAGTACTGCCAGGAAGAAATATCAATAGGTGTCATAATCATAATCTCGATATTTTATAATAAAAACTTGGTGTTAAAAAAGCCTGTTTCGACAATCGATATTTCATGCAGTTATATGTGGGTGCGATATTGAAGTAAAAATAATCGGTACGAACTCTGACCATCAAGCCTCTTGTTGACCAAGACTGGAGGCGGGGGGTGTGGGCCCAACACGTGCAGGCGCTTAAGCTTCTCAGCAGCGCGCGGGTGGCGGATGAGGAAGTTGTGCAGAGCGAGGTTGTCCACAACAGCCACCTCCAGCGCGATTTCCATCAACGATTTAAGGCACGCCTCGTGGCTCCCGAGCTCTGACAGTCAAAATCAGATAACAATTATCCTGACTATTAAAAAATGTTAAGAGTGGTAAAGATCGCCTACATTGGAGCTGTGAGTTGAAGGTTCGAAATTGTGGAAATTCTCACAAATTGGGAAAATTCAGGTCTAAATCGTCAGGTGGTCTGGTGATAAAGATTGGCCGAAAAGCCAACATAACCTTTTCTGAGCTGACTCCTCTATTACTAAGTCAGAGGGTTATTAAACTCAATGGAGACAAATACGAACATGAACACATAAAATGTTTAAAAGTCTCTTCTGATAGAAAATTCAGCAAGCGTAAATATTTAATGCTAAGTATCGTTAGCCGTCATATATACGGCTACGTCAACAAATAACATCTTGTGTTACTGCTAAATATTGTAGTAGCGCAAGACGTAATTGGTTGACGCAGCATTGAGAGTGTGATGTTCATCAAGGGCCAAAGTCACCTCGAGGAGATGACGGGCAAGCCAGAGTAAGATCAGTGTACGTGTAACCCTACTTTTACTCGTGTGTTTTTATTTCCTAATATTTCTTATTCGTTTAATACTTTTTTATTCGTTTAATAAACTGTACATTGAATATCAACTACCGCTCTATTTAATTTGTTCATTTAATTATTTATATACATCTTGATCATCATTTGATCTTGGCATGCTACAACTTTTTGGACAGCTCCTTGTCAATGCTACAACATATTAAAAGTTCAGCTCTCTAGGTCTTTTTTTTTCAGTTTTACAGCCCTTCAAAAAATTAAGCCAAAGATAAATTGATATACTAATAGTTAGCGGTAAATTCAGTTAAATTTTTCGGCGATTTATTAGTTTAGCGTTATAAAAGTTAACTTTTCAGTTATAGGATTAACAGTTATCGAAGCTAACTTTTCGTTTAGCCGTGCCTACCACTGCGCATAGGCAACGCAAGTTCATGCTTTTAACTTTTCCGACGACTTCAAGGGGAAAATTCTCCACGAAAATGTCATGTGGCCGAATGCGGTTGCCATCTAGCAACACATGCACATTGCGCAGTCGCCATACATGCGCTTCGATCCTTGCGGTGACTTCAGAAAAGTAAAGCTCCCAAAGATGTTTGATAATTTACCGCCTTTACATGCATACATTTCGAAAACAAATTAGGCAACCCTGGTTGTATCCGAGCTAAATTGAAGATGATTATTATTGGCCACTCAATCATATTTGAATATTTTCTATTCGAGAAAATGATTACCTGTTAGTCTGTGATACGAAATTCCTTATGTTTCAACGAAATCGCTCGGCTCGGCATTCACGGGGTGAAACGTGTTAGGCAAGGCGAAATGGAGCAAAAATTGGAAGTTCGAAACCAATTCAAATACTGGCTTCCAGAGCCAGTAGTATAAAAATTGTCGAAATGTACTAAATCAATGAAATAAATATTTCAGTATTAAAATACTACTCTCTTTACAGCACAAACTGCATCATCTAAGTTGGATCTCCCATGGGGCAAAGCATTTCATGTACAAGCGTCGGATGCCATCGTGAAAAAATCTTTATAAACCTGTTGAATCAACCTCAACCCGCTCGAATCCCAAGGTATGATCATCGAACAGGACAGGTTGAGGGGCGATTAGTCCCCACACTATAGGGTTAAAGATGAATCAACAAATTTTCAATATACCCAAATGGTTTTGAATACAAGTTTTCAAAAATTTAGTAATTGGAAGCTGCGATGAAAATTAACAATTTTCTACAGGACTCACTGTGCACGGTGTGGAAAAATGCGGCGTTCTCGCCCGACAGCTTCAGCTTGTTCAATAGCGCCGTGACTGAGCTGAAGGACTGAGCGTCGCTGATAGCCAGTTTGCTACCTCGCAGGTCCAGAAACTCTGTGGTGCTACCATAGCTGCGGGACAAAAAGGCGTTGTAGTCAACAAAGCTCTGTGGTGCTGTGCCATAGCTGCGGGACAAAAAGGCGTTGTAGTCAACAAAGCTCTGTGGTGCTGTGCCATAGCTGCGGGACAAAGAGGCGTTGTAGTTAACAAAGCTCTGTGGTGCTGTGCCATAGCTGCGGGACAAAGAGGCGTTGTAGTCAACAAAGCTCTGTGGTGCTGTGCCATAGCTGCGGGACAAAAAGGCGTTGTAGTTAACAAAGCTCTGTGGTGCTGTACCATAGCTGCGGGACAAAGAGGCGTTGTAGTCAACAAAGCTCTGTGGTCTGGGACTGCTCGACTGGCCTGGGACTGCTACGTTCAAAACTCGTACCAAAGATCACCGTTCGGCACATGAAAATCAATACCGAACGAGCATTACGCACCAAATTGAAACGTCGAGTGTACTCTTTTTTTACGAGGATTATATTTAAGCTTTTTAGCAGCTGGGAAATTTATCCAAGGAAGTTATTATTGTTATTACTATTACTACAGTTATATACAACGAAAGACGTAATTATTTATAGGTCGTGGACATATGAAAATTAAAAGTATAGCAACTATTTTCAGCAGATAGTAATGAAATTTCTTCCCACAACTCGTTGTTTGACCACCTAAGTTCATGTGATCTATTTCTCAATTCTTTATTAAGACAGAGAATAGAGTTTACCAGAGGAATCTGTATGAGTATAGCGAGATTAGGAGCTGATGCGAAAATTACATGCAGAGAGAACAAAGAGATTATGCATGTAATGCCGATTATGCGATTATGCCGAGTGAGAACAAAGAGATTATGAGCCTATAGCTATTGAGAAATTATGATAAACCAGATGAGTTAACTAGAATCACTAGATACAGACTGCCCACCAGCCCCAGGGCATCGCGAGCGAGCGCACGTACGTCTGGTCGGCACGGGCGACTACGACTGAGTAGTAGCCGACGTCGCGGACGGTCGGGTCGTCGGGGTGCGCCGTGACGGGCCCCACGGGCAGCACGACGTACGCGGCCTCGCCACCCTTCTGTTGCACGTCCAGCCCGTACCGCGTTGACGTGAAGGCTATAGCGAGAACATTCGACTAGTTTAGTAGAATGTTCACTACTAGTTTACTACTTAGGATTGATGAAAATACAAATCATAATTTTTTTACGAAAATCAACGATTCACATCATAACCTTGTTACAGAAATCCACGATTTACAGTACGAACGTAAAATGAAGGTCAACACCTTCCAAAAAACAAGAGTTATACACACCGACATCCACGTAGCAATTGCTACACCCATTAACATCTAGGAAGCAACGCTAACACTCACCGACGTCGACGTGCTGATGATCCCCCCTCTCCACCGACGGCCCCAGACGGTCCGTGTCGTAGAGCAGGTCGACGACGAGGCCCGTTTGGGCCTCGATGTGCTGCTTCAGGGCCTCGTAGTAGCGAACGCTGATGCTGGGGCCACCGTACGTGGCCATCGTGATGCGCTGCGGTGGCATGGCGGGTGGGGCCGCGGTGGTACGAGAAGCTTGGTGGTGACGTGTAATGTGAACAGACGGTGAAACCCGGTAGAACAATTTATACTATATTTTGAGTGAATACAGGGAATAAATGAGGTTGGCCTCGGCTTTTTATGGATTACACAGAATCTTCAGTGTTCGACCTATGGCAAGTTTAATTATTTAGAAGATGGAACTAGAGGTTTGTTCGTATCCTATTTAAAACACTTATAAAAACGTGTAGAACAGGAGTCAGATTTCGCAGAAGATTTTTTTCAATGCAGTGATGACGGACTATAATTATCCTAAATTACCACCCGACTCTAAATTTTTAGCACAATAAAAGGATCGATAAGACCTCCATCAACGAAGACTTCTCATAGATATCGAGGAACAAAATAATCAACGACAAATATTTCGAAAAATATAGGTATGTGCGTAGATAGATATGGAAGCCAACTAATTCAAGTTAGTAAGAATCGAACACGGGAAGTAAGGATTCAAAATTTGAGTGCATATGTACTTCTTTCTTGCATTTCTCTGTTTTGTTAGACGTCCACTTCGCAGGTTCGCATGAACCGCTTATGGGTATGTCAGCCTTCTACGGTCAAAACACAATTTACATGTGAGTGCAATACGATTCACAAGCCAGGGTTGCCAAACGGCCTAAAAAGGCCTATAATTCAATATTTACGATTAAATTTGTTGGTTCTCATGCAAAAATTCTATTTTCCTTCTTTTCGTACTTTTTAAAGTTTAATAAGTAAGTACCGCCGTCATAAAATTTTGCCGGAATTTGTCCGAAAAAAAGATCCGGCAACCTACCGGCGGTTCGTAATGCACTCAACGTGTTAATAGTCAACGCCACGAAAAACCGATGAACATGAGTTGCCAACTTGCCAGTCAATGTATATTGAGAACGCAAAACTTAATCTTGGGTCAACAAGCATCAAAATAGTTCAGCGTGCCACTCGTAGGTTCTGTCTTCTCTCCTATCCAATACCAGAATGATCTCCGGTCTGCACGTACCGGTATGTTCCTAACGAGGTTCAAATTCTTACCTAAAACTATTTTATAATATGTACCCTATTTGAAACGCGTCGGCTATATCCGAATCTTTTAAATAAATGCTCAACCCGACCCCTACGACGTGATTAAAACGATACGCTTATCGAGGATAAATGGTAAACACTGGAGAGCACGAACGCAGCTAGTGGCCCTTAGCCCGCAATGAATTATCACAGTATCGTAATCGAGTAAAATTCGCAACACGAAACTATTTAATTTTCAACAACTCCTTAGCACCATTTACACAGCACTTGCATTTTTTCATGGACTAGCAGTGCAAGTATAGGCATACAGGTCATCTGCTATAGTTTAGAGACAATTTTTGAAAGGCAATTTTACTGGACCGGGATATTTTAAGCTGCCGCAGCGCATCGCTCCAGCTGGACATGGCACCAACTGTACACACGACGCATCATCCCAGCTTGACATGGCACCAACTGTATACAAGACACATCGCCTCAGTTTGACATGGCACCAACTGTACATACGACGCATCGCCCCAGCTTGACATGGCACCAACTGTACATACGACGCATCGCCCCAGCTTGACATGGCACCAACTGTACATACGACGCATCGCGCCAGCTTGACATGGCACTAACTGTTCACACGACGCATCACCCCAGCTCGACATGGCGTCAACTGTACACACGACGCATCACCTCAGCTCGACATGGCGTAAACTGTACACACGACGCATCGCGCCAGCTTGACATGGCACCAACTGTTCACACGACGCATCGCCCCTGCTTGACATGGCACTAACTGTACACACGACGCATCGCCCCAGCTTGACATGGCATTAACTGTATACACGACGACGCATCGCCCCTGCTTGACATGGCACCAACTGTACACTACTGCACACTACAGCGTACAGTACACACGACTGCCCTGGCCGCCCCAACCTTTAGGCGACAACTGGCTGGCCTCGATAACCGGCTAGTAACTACTAAAAATAGTCTCTACGATCACGGCAGTTGACAAGTTGATCAAACTTAAAAGGACTTGAGAAAACCGTATATATACAATAAGCATTCCGGACCAACAACCATATTCTTCACCTGCATTTTAATTACTGCACACATTATTTTAAATGTCATTGAAAACAATCACATAATATGCGCAATTTTTTATGAAGAACATTTTTTTTACGCAGAATACGCAAACGATCCCTTGAATGGGAGTGAGGAACCTGCATGAAACGCTCCTATGCTAATTACCGACATAGCGACAAGCAGCACTGAGGTTAGAAGCAGGCGGAGTATCTTGAACTACAACCAGAAGTGAATATCTTTTCTAAAAATTAAATTATAAGCAAATTTTTAGGTAATAGCTTTTAAAAAATATAAACATTATGTAGTGATTTTTTAGACACTCAATAAACGAGAATAGATCATTTTTGTACAGGTTCCAGGGTTAAATTACAGGTTGAAGCAAATTTTACCACAGAACGAACTTTGTATGCATAGAATTTCAGGAAATCTCGGGAAAGGCGTGGATTGAATTTCTAATTTCCGAAGCTAGTTTGGAAACATTCTCATGAGCAGAATGTAGGCTCACCTTGCATACGATAGTTACGTCATGAACTAATTACATATTTGCCTTGGCCCTTGGGCATCAAATGAAAAAAGTGCTGAGAACTGAATTTACAGATCTGTCAGCATAATGGACCAATTTTAACATTCATTTGTAGTTTAGAATATCCAAACAAAACTAGCCGTAAAATTCAATTTCTTGTTGAATAAAGATAACGATTATACACAACAGGAAATCACACAACCCACTCCTACGACAGCCTACACGTGACTGGAACATGACAGCTTACCGGCACACAGTGTGTCGGCTGCGGTGATGTGTCAACTCTGTACGAGCGCCAGGTAAGCAACACGGCATTTTGTGTAATCTTCAAATATACATAGTATTTCTCACATCAAGCTCGAAATTATAATTAAATTCAGAGCAATTTTTAACAAATTATAATTTCCGATTTGTTTATTATCATTGAATTCAACCATTCGGTAGATATTTCATCTTATGGTCACTAGATAGCGTGAATGTAGGTGTTCGGGAGCATTACGTAAGCAGCAATCTCTATCTATTCACTATCGAATCACATGCCTTGTAATACGAGTTGAACAAAATATCAGCTTCAAAATCTCTTCATTATTCTTCTTGTGTGCTTCTCAAGGATTTGGTATAAATAAACAGAATAGTCTTTTGTATGCCATTTTCAAATTACGCAAACATAGCAACGATAGCGAAAATTTGTGCGAAAAATATGAACTATTACTATTAAATTCTCATTACTAGGCGTTTCATTAGTACATTCTCCTAAAAGATGAAATTTACGCCAATACTCAGTGTACGTGTCTTCTCTACTCGCGTTTATTTACACATTAGACCGTATAGAGACCTCCTTACCGTTAGATTCAGCGGTTCTCAACCCGTGGTACGTATACCACAAGTAGTACAGGAATGGCTCCAGAGTCATGAACGATTTTCAGTTTTGTATTTTTCACCTTAATAAAAGGAGTACTTCCAAGTTGTATATATAGGGCCAAAATTTTCAACTAATACACCACGCCATCCACCTGCTCTTAGCGTCTCGCCGTTAAATTAAAACATGCGCTTACCAGGTGCGGAAATGATTAGCACGATAGGTTATATTTACTAAAATTAATGCCAGGTATTTGTGACTGCATAGGAGTATAATTTGTTCGTGGTAGAACCTGCTAAAAGGCACCAATTTTACAAGCCCTCCAACACAAAAAACACAAATATGTTTTTCGTTTACAGGCAAAGACCTACGATTATGCTGATGCACTACCCTCGACAGCACCAAGAACCGACCAGCTATGACAACGTGAAATGAGCCGATATGTTCAAGACTAGAACCTATGGCTAGTGCCTCTCATCTTGACGTCAATACCACTGCACTACAGCCGATGGTTCCATCACAGCAAATTAGAGTACCAGTATTTTAATTTAATGATTCGTCCTGTAATATGCCTTACAATTTTGTTGATAAGTGATTGCAGGCTAGATTAGATTTCGGATTCATTGTCATAGAAAATAGGCAATGCATGTATGTGCCTCTGTTGCAGGGTCGGCCCGGACCAAATCGGCGCGCAGGCGCAGAAATGTCGCTTCGGTATCGCATTCGGACACGACAGTTGGCAGTGACACGAGGCCGGAGAAGATATAGTAAATCCTACAGGTTATATGTCTGGTAATAATCGCTGCTGCAATGCTTAAATTGTTTTTATTATTCTGTTATCGCTCAATTACTGTTCTTTGTGCAGAGAGTTTCACTTTTTTATTTTTGATGTGCTGCGCACATCGAGACACAGCCAATCGTCTTAAGGATTATGCGGGACATGGTTGAACTAATAAAAGGTTGACCAACGACGATAAAGATTTTTCGCAGTTCTGCGCATCTTTAGAACGACGGGCACACAGTGGGCACAAAAGGAAAACAGTGTGGATCAACACATTGTTTTATGTCATTTTTGAAAGCATTAAAAAAATTTACCTCATCAAAATGCCCCAAAAAAATTTAATTACTGCATGCAACTATCCTTTAGAAGCTGTATTTTTTTGATCGTGGAAGCCATCCTACCTAGCTTTAGCCATCGACGTGCTTTGAATTTAACAAACATTAACCGAAAATGTTCTTCAATACATGTTCGAATAATTGTACTTGGAAAAGAATTAAGTGCATTAATCCTTCAACCAAGGTCGTCGGGAAGCAATGTAATTTATGAATGAAATAGTTTTGTACATGTATAAATTTCACGGTACATTGATTCTTCCAAGCTTCCTTATTTCACTAGCTCATTTGATGACTTACTACACAAAATATAAATATCCTTAGCCCAGCAATGTCATGATATTGAAAATACAAACCTTTATAGATATATTTTTTAATCACATCAGTATAGTACAATGGTAACTATAATACATTAACAATGCCTAATGTTGAGCAAAAAAAAATCCGTTTCTGAACCTCAATTCTTAAAAATGAACTTCCAATCAAATAACTTGAAAGCCATTTGAATTAATTTTTATGATATTAATCATACTGGTGAATTTTATATTCGAATATATTCGAATTTTTTCAAAAACCTTAGGAAAATGATTACGAAATGAATTTTTGAATAATTTTCATACATTTGGACATATCTCTGGTTACATACATGAGACGAACTTGACCAAAATACAATGAACATTCTTTTGTAAGAGAGTAAGCAACAGCCCACTGAAACTGAAACTATCTTTAAAATTCAAAACAGCGGGAGAAGTATGATATTGATTAAATAATAGCCAAGTATATATGCATTGCGCCAATTTCCCATCAATTATCAGCATGTGTGATAGAAAAAAACTGTTGGAAATGAAACAAATGAACTCTTACGAGTGACAGAAAATATTCCAAAATGATGGTTTGGATGTGAATGCCAGCCTCAGAGGTCTATTAAATCAGTCTTTTCGCCCGGAACTTCTCATATTTAGTTAGACTCAATGAATATCTTTTGAGTTTTCTCATCTCTCATGAAGAGGCCCTGTATACGTAAAATGTAATTGTGCAGCGATTTGAGAATTGGCCATGGCTATAATTTTCCAGATTGTAGTTTTTTGGTTCGTCAACTCACTTCCAGGAAATGAAATAGAAACAATGGCTTTTAGCTCATAACTAAGGGCTACCAATACAATGGACAGGAATGTGGAAGTAATCGTAAATTCTGACGGTGCTGACATCAAACTGGCATCCTGGACTGTGGCTTCCGGTGCAATCTATCATCACCTGGTGTGTCTGGCCAAAAGATTGGGCACTCTGTACCATTTGTAACGAATACTAAAAGAATCCAGTAGGCTATCCATTGTCAGACGCAAGATACGAGAAAATTCATTCACATCGTAAGGCAAACACCGCACCTGAGTCATCACGTAAAGCCTGATGATGGACAGGGCCTCTTCTTCAGTTGGATTGTTGACGGCGGCAATGAGACCTGCATGCTGAAAGGCGTGCCGCAAAGTTCGACCAGATAATAGGTCAAATTCCGTAACGAAAGAGCCTANCATAAAGAAGAAAGTTTATTATCCTAGAGGTTAGCATAACATACCATTTAGAATACCGTACTTATGTTTTGAAAACAATACCTGTCTCTTATACACATCTAGATGTGTATAAGAGACAGGTCTACAGGTGTGATAGAAGCATAAATATCTTCAGAAAATTCTTACCTGCGACACCGGCGGAATAGGCTTCGCAGATTTCGTAGCCCCCATCTCGTGTTCCTTCACCGGAAAGCTCTGTAAAATTGCTTGATATTTTGTCGCATTTCAATAATAATGGGAAACATAGAAGAATAAAAAAAACTATGATGGAAATTGAAAACGACACACGACAAAGAACAAAAAATGACCGGTTCTGTAATTCAAGCAATGATTTTAATGAAAAAAAAGGTATTCCAACATTATAACAACCCAGAGAATATAACAGAATATGAACCCTAAGCAGCTACAATCCAGACGTTAATGGAGGATCATAGTGACGCCAAGTAGCTTGACGTTACGAAATGTTACATTCGGAATTAAAAAAACTGAAAAGCAGTATTTAAACTCCAGCCTTGATGACCTAACGATGGACTGTAAGTATTCATCATTCTTGTTGCATAGGTTCTCAGAATTCCAAATTAAATGAAGGCATTCTTTTCAACGTGACGCTTGGTGAAGGCTTGTGATCAGCCAGTAGGAAAGAAGACATCAATCGTATGGAACAAAATTATTCTACCTTTAAGTTGAGTTCTACTACCTCACAATACAGAACGGGATTTCTAGAATTTATTAATTGCTGGATCTTCATGTATATCATGCCAAATATATGGCCAAGTTCGTTTATTCAGATATATAATTGACTTTGTTGAGCAGCAAGAAATTGAAATACTGAAAATGACAACTGAATACTGTTGTCATGGCGATGGCGAGATGGACATGGAGAGTGTTGCACTAAAACAATTAAATTATGGAAATATTTTTTTGCACGGTAATGAAGCGTAAAATTAAGCTATGTAGGAAAAATTACTATGATAAGTGGATAATGAAACAACGGATTTTGCCTAAATCTCCTGTCATTAATATAAAATAAAATATTAATTTAACCACTGTTTGGGAATCAGGTTCTGTTCATTGATAGAAACAACGAATCTATGATTATTGTTGAAAGAAATACAATTTATAAAATACCTATGTTGAATACATTAAAATATTCAATGTATCCGAAGACAGTTTAGTATATAAATTTTCAATTCAATCCAAGATCAATTAGTAGAGATATTACGCAAGCCTGTAAACAAATTTATTAAAAAATAAGATACTAGACAATTTTTTCCAAAACAAATCCTTAGCAAAATGTTCGTTATGAATCAGGAAACATGTTTAAAATGGTTTGGGGAAAATTATAGGTTGTTCAGCAAAGACATGGACAAAAAAACTATTAACATTTTCAGATGAAGTTCCATTTTGAAAAATAAAATAATAACCAATTTTTTACGTGACATTTTATAACTAAATGTTTCTAGAGACTAAAAGAATATGGAAAACATAGTTTGAACCAAATCGTGAGGCTGAAACCTGCGATACAAGCGCAAAAAGGTGAAACTCTTACATATACAGATTATATTGGAAAATAAATTTATTGAAGCCAATAGAATCAAGACCAAANCTATACCCAGACTGTCTCTTATACACATCTAGATGTGTATAAGAGACAGATGCACTGCTGGAATAGGAAGTTGATGGTTCGGAATGAACAGTCGCTCCAATGCGTTCATTGTCAGTATCACTTGTATGCACATCTTCTTCTACCTGCAAATGATAAACAATTATCGTTCTCTGCAATTTTCATTTTCTTGGGGATTCTGGCTGTTGTAATTTGTTTATAATTTTTGCTTTGTAATTTATTACTTTTTTTCAGTTAAAAAAAAACTTAAGAGGAGCGACTGGAAGTTACAACTGTGATTGAAAGAATGTATACAGATCCCTCATTGTTTAAGGTCAATTGATGGAAAACATATAAGGATTGCGACCCATCATGGAAGGTGCTACTGTTCAATTAAAAACAGCTCAGAGTGCCATTTTGACGGCCGTAGCAAATCCTAATTGCTATCCTAAACTTTATATATATACTGATTATATTGGGAAAAAATTATTAAAACCAATAGAATCAAGACAAACATGCACCAATAAACACAAAAACGCCCAATGTTTTCATACTCCTTGGAGAATTAAAGTTGTACCGGAAAATGGTTACATGGTAGAGACAGCAATGGCTACTACAATGACGAATGGTATTGTCCAACTTATCATAAGTAAAATTAAGTTAAGTAGTTAATTATTAAGTCATGTTAGTTCATGTATGAAGTTAACCAGTACTATAGTACATATACCATATTTGGGGGCGGAGCTTTGGGCAAAACCAATCACAGCTGGAAAGCATGACATCACAATCCCATCAACCAATCACAGCTGCAGGGCATGACATCACAATCCCATCAACCAATCACAGCTGGAAAGCATGACATCACAATCCCATCAACCAATCACAGCTGCAAAGCATGACATCACAATCCCATCAACCAATCACAGCTGGAAAGCATGACATCAGTCTCTTATACACATCTAGATGTGTATAAGAGACAGATGTATATCATGCCAAATATATGGCCAAGTTCGTTTATTCAGATATATAATTGACTTTGTTGAGCAGCAAGAAATTGAAATACTGAAAATGACAACTGAATACTGTTGTCATGGCGATGGCGAGATGGACATGGAGAGTGTTGCACTAAAACAATTAAATTATGGAAATATTTTTTTGCACGGTAATGAAGCGTAAAATTAAGCTATGTAGGAAAAATTACTATGATAAGTGGATAATGAAACAACGGATTTTGCCTAAATCTCCTGTCATTAATATAAAATAAAATATTAATTTAACCACTGTTTGGGAATCAGGTTCTGTTCATTGATAGAAACAACGAATCTATGATTATTGTTGAAAGAAATACAATTTCTAAAATACCTATGTTGAATACATTAAAATATTCAATGTATCCGAAGACAGTTTAGTATAAATTTTCAATTCAATCCAAGATCAATTAGTAGAGATATTACGCAAGCCTGTAAACAAATTTATTAAAAAATAAGATACTAGACAATTTTNAGCTTGTAGCTCGCTAGTCATACCAGCTTGCAGCTCACTAGTCATACCAGCTTGCAGCTCGCTAGTCATACCAGCTTGCAGCTCACTAGTCATACCAGCTTGTAGCTCGCTAGTCACACCAGCTTGTAGCTCGCCAGTCATACCAGCTTGCAGCTCGCTAGTCATACCAGCTTGTAGCTCGTCTCTTATACACATCTAGATGTGTATAAGAGACAGGCTAGTCATACCAGCTTGCAGCTCGCTAGTCATACCATCTTGCAGCTCGCTAGTCATACCATCTTGCAGGTTGCTAGTTATACCAGCTTGCGGCTCGCTAGTCATACCAGCTTGTGACTCGCTAGTCATACCAGCTTGTAGCTCGCTAGTCATACCAGCTTGCAGCTCGCTAGACATACCAGCTTGCAGCTCGCTAGTCATGCCAGCTTGCAGCTCACTAGACATACCAGCTTGCAGCTCGCTAGTCATACCAGCTTGTGACTCGCTAGACATACCAGCTTGCAGCTCGCTAGTCATACCAGCTTGCAGCTCGCTAGTCATACCAGCTTGCGGCTCACTAGACATACCAGCTTGCAGCTTGCCAGTCATACCAGCTTGCACTTTGCTGGTCATACCAGCTTGAGGCTCGCTAGTCATACCACCTTGCGCTTTGCTAGTCATACCACCCAGCAGCTCGCTAATTACACCAGCTTGCAGCTCGCTAGTCATACCATTTCGCAGCTTGCTAGTCATACCATCTTGCAGGTTGCTAGTCATACCATCTTGCAGGTTGCTAGTCATACCATCTTGCATGTTGCTAGTTATACCACCTTGCGCTTTGCTAGTCATACCACCCAGCAGCTCGCTAATTACACCAGCTTGCAGCTCGCTAGTCATACCATCTTGCAGCTTGCTAGTCATACCATCTTGCAGCTCGCTAGTCATACCATCTTGCAGCTTCAATGGCTTTTAGCTCATAACTAAGGGCTACCAATACAATGGACAGGAATGTGGAAGTAATCGTAAATTCTGACGGTGCTGACATCAAACTGGCATCCTGATCTGTGGCTTCCGGTGCAATCTATCATCACCTGGTGTGTCTGGCCAAAAGATTGGGCACTCTGTACCATTTGTAACGAATACTAAAAAAATCCAGCAGGCTATCCATTGTCAGACGCAAGATACGCGAAAATTCATTCACATCGTAAGGCAAACACCGCACCTGAGTCATCACGTAAAGCCTGATGATGGACAGGACCTCTTCTTCAGTTGGATTGTTGGCGGCGGCAATGAGACCTGCATGCTGAAAGGCGTGCCGCAAAGTTGGACCAGATAATAGGTCAAATTCCGTAACAAAAGAGCCTAATGTTATGACGAGGTGAAAGAGGAATTTGAAAGTGCATTTTGGCTCGATACAGTCATAAACAATGACCACATCCCTGTCAGCGGAAATATCGACGAAACGATGCACAAAGTCGGAGTTACTTCCTTGAAGAACTTCACGATCGAGGTTATCAAAAAGTAAAGACAGCTCCAGGGTCCCAGGACTAGGGCAAGCGCGGTTTGCGAGGCTCTCAAAGAAACGACGAACTTCGTTCACATATCTTTTCCTTACTCGTACTCTCCTGCTGCTCGCATCGATCCAAGGACACTCGCTCAAATCTTCAGCAACAGCGATAGTTGTCGCAGGAGTGAAACTGAACCACTTGAGATAATCAGTGAGTCTCATAACCTGTAGCAACTCAGGCGGACGAACGCTGAACAAGAACGTGTTATCAGCCAATTCCGGAGAATGGATCATCTTGCTCATTGACAATTCTTGACTGCGTGTGAAACGTCGCCAAAGAGGAAAGCGAGCTCTTCCGTACATTCTATTCAAATTGAAATATTTATACTTCTTTTCCTGGATGCAGTCGCCTCGTTTACGATACATCGCCAGTCGGCGTTCGGAGTTCTGAGTGGAACAATGCACAAAATCTGCAGAGCATCCAACGTAAGGAAGCAGGTTCGTAAACCAGACCATTTCTGCTGCGGTGATTGTCCGGCACAAAGTTTTTTCGGGCACATTATCTCGCATTTTCTCTTCATGAGCGATCTTCGACCCTGAGATCTTTGCGTCGTGGTCGAGATCATCGCGAGGCTCAACGATGACTGCAGTAGTATCCTTGCAAGAAGAGCAGGTCGTGATAACTTTACCCTTCTCGTAAGAGCGCGCTGCATATTGGGCAAGAGAACTTCTCGTAAACTCTGAGTTGCAAATTTTAACACTAACCATGGAACGCAGCATAGCGAAAATGCGGCCATTCGAGGATACTCGATACACACGTAACGCGCTGTCGTATGAGTAGCAGTTACCAACAAATGTTGTTTTCACGACCTTATCCTTGTGAAGCATGGACTCGAGTTCGGGTGGATACATTGTCGTTACAAACCCAAGTTGCGACAGCCGTTCCTGGGTCTCAATATTATATATTGGAACATAATACCTTTCGCTTCCACTGTTCTGCGCCTTTTTCAGGCAACTTAATTTGGAATTTGCACATTTACTTCGAGTTAGCCGGTCTGCGAGATTGTGGAGTTTAACGAATTCGGCTTGATCTTTCACGAGGCCATCCCTTATGAGGCTCGACATATCAGTCCTGACATTTTTATTGAACATTTCGTCGAGGCTGTTGTGAGTTCTCTTCATGCGTTCTGTAACACTACAGGAACGGTTTTTCAGTGTTAGCCCAGCGTGAACGCAAGGCTTGTTCCCGGGACTTCCCGAATTCTGAAACTCGAACCTATACCACACGTTTTTCAGCTCACCAAAGATCTTTTCTTTGCCGTGCATGAGAAATTCGAAGAGGTAATGCACGGTACGGGCCCAAGCGCGGCAGAGAAGGGGGCACGCATTCTGAAGTTTCTTGTCGAGTTCTTTACCGTGATATCTTTGCTCCAGTGCTCTCCTGATTGGTGCTACGCCCATGGTTTCTGAGTCATTGCAAGTCAAAGTGATGAAAAAGTCCCATGGATTTTCATTTATGACAGCGGACAAGCGTCTGACCTCTATACTACCGTCCGTTTCATCATACTTCGATGAACTTCCACTTGCTTCGATCATTATGTTGGAGCGGTTCACGTGCTCCAAACCATTGCGCAGAGCAAGCAGAACATCGTTGCTCCGGAGTAAACTGTTAAGGTAAACGTCGAAGCAGAAGGCCAAGTAATTTGGATCGTGAGCAGTGAGTAGTGACATGTCGAGTAACCTCACTCGAAGATGGTCAATGAGCGAAGCAAATCCGCCATAAGCAGATTTTTGACCTAAAGAAGAATAAAATACAAGAGGCAAAGCACCGATGACACTCCTACCTACAGCCGCCCAGAAGATTGTCGGAAAAAAGAGCCCTTCAGGATACAAAATCAGTCGCGACTCATTAGGCGATACACCATCAAGATGCATAAAGATGTTCTGACAGGAAGCAGATGAATGCTTATTTATGCCTTCTCTTGACAGATGCAAACCTGTATTGAGGAATAAATGGCCAGGAGTAGAGTTTGCGCCCTGCGAATAGGAAGGGTTAACTTCTTCGGTGGCAACAGGAAGTTGCCCAGAGAGAGAGTCTAGAGGCGCCGAGTGCATTTCCGCTACATCGTTTATTTCCCAAGGAAATAAAGGCGGGAGATCTTCTAAGATGGTCATTGCTACATCACTCTCCACATCCATATCGTCGTGAAAAGTCAGCGTAGACAAAGGAACGTTTGTGGGAGGATCGATGAAAGTTACCCTTTCACCGCCCGTCACACTGATCTTGGCATGCAACAAGCACACTCCTGATCTACATGGCATCCACCTCTGGCCGTAGCCTTTGGCACAACGATAACGAACTGATGATGAGCAACGGGGAATGCAGCATTTCAGAGACGAGCCAGGGCGTTCGCTGATCATGTAAAGCTCTCTGTGTTTAGAGCATTTTAACATGGTTTGCGCTTCATTAAAATTAAATAAATCGAACCTAGATATACACGGAAACGAACCTGTCTCGATGTACAGAAGGATGTTCCAATAAAAAGACCGTGGATTGTCGCCGACCTGCAAAGGAACAGTTGTATCTGAGGAACATTGGTGCCACTTCAACTCACTACTCCAACGGAAATCAAATTCAAATTTGTATTGATTTCTTCGGCTAAAACGGTGTCCAAGAGCCAGCATTAATTGCCAGCGCCCATTGCACAGAGTCTGAGGAGCTCCCGTTGAGTTTACTGCTGAACTATCCACCAAGAGAACTTTCTTCGAATCATTGGCAATACTTTCAAGAGCTTGAAAATTGCGATTAATGGAGACGGCTTTAAGGCCACAGAGATGAGCGAGAATGGCTTGAATTTTTATGTTAGTTTGACAGTTATCGCCACACAAAGCTTTATTAGTAGCCATCCGCAACAAATCAGCCGTCATACTTAAAAGCTTACTCAATTTCCTGCCACTTGCAATTTCAAAAACGGACAATTGAACACGATGATATACAGAACGCGGACGTTTAGTCTCCAATTCAGTTAAAAACATTTGATAAAGATGTTTACTATGAAGAAGAATTGTCACGATAGTATGAAGCACCATGTCATCATGGCACAGGCCATCTCGTTTACCTAAGTGTGGCAGCTTAAACGGCAAATGACCAACTTCATTACCAGGATGCACGAGCTGCAAAACGTCACTCCTCTCCGTGCACAAAATTTTGTCGCTTTCATCACGGGGACAGCTATTTGATCTTTTGCGGCAGTTCATCATCATTAGAGAGGCGTCGTGGAAGTCGACGTAGGTTCCTGTTGCTTTTGCTCCATCCACAACCTTGTCGTCCAATGGATGTCTTTCATAAGATTCTTTAAGGTCGCGGAAAAATTCGTTCGGCAGTGTTTTTGCTTTTATTAGGGTTTGTAAGATTTCCTCACGTTGATTGAGAGCTAAGCCCATACTTTCTACTTGTGGTACAGAACACGGTCCGTCAAGATACGGTCTTGGCGTTAGACCGAAGCAAGAAGCGCCGTTTGCATCGCCGTACTCGCGAAACACCGCATGGCTGCTGTTGGTCATGTTAGAACCACCAGGCCTAACTAGATGTGGATTTACAGAGACGGGAGCGATGAGGTCGGGGCAGAGCTCAGATGTACTACCAAGCACCGGATTGTGGGGTACGTGGATGTAAAGGCTACGGCCATCGGCGTGAATAGTTTGTGCGCATGTCACTACACATAGTCCTTTCTTTGCATCAACGATTAAGGTAGAGGCAAACTTGAAACCTTCATATTCGCCTCGAATAGGCCAGTCAGGACGGGCTCCTCTGAAAAAATTAGGGTCAGCTTGGAAAGAAGTAAATTCTGGACAAATGGAGGACAAATAATGTGAGAGGGGCAAATAATCCACATCTTTCCCAACCTCTCCATCAAGGTAAGTGTTGCAACCCATGGGACACTTGACTGAAGGGAAGCAAGTTGAATTCAATTTGGATGCCAATATACCCGCATGGTCGAATAAATGCGACTTGAAATTAATCAATTCATGCGTGCCATCAACGAATTTCGGAGCCGAATTCCAGACTGCTGAAATTTTTATACTCATTCTTGACACCAATTTCCGATAACTGTTCTTGATTGTTTGCGGTAACATTTCCACTAACTTCTTAGCATCAAAGGACAATCTGTCGCTTGTTAAAAATGTGCAGATGACAGCGGGCCATGCATGAGCCCATTGTGAATCTTTCAGAATCATGGTCGATTCTAAATATACGGTACATTCAGTACAGACAAATGGATTATGGGGCAAATGTTGATCACCGTAAGTTTGCGATGCTACTGGGATCCAATAAAATCTCCTCAGTTCCAGTGGATATTCAGCTGTGTGACATCGATGACAGCAAGCACACTCGTCGGCAGGATTAAGATGCGTCGTTCTTTCATCAAGAAACACTGCCGAAATTCCTTCATCGCTGTCTTCATTTGAGGATCCAGACGAGTCACTCGAAAGGTCTTGATCATGAGCCAAGATTTTGCATTGACCACAAGTGGAGGCGTGAGTGACACTCTGTATCAATAAAAATGCAATAAAATTCGTGAATAGAGTACATATCCTGACTAAAAATTCATATTTGTGATCACATTCATATCTGTGATAGGAATGTAAAAAATTGCCTATATTTGATGAACAATTACGCAATCCCTGCATTTATGTAAGCCATGAACACATTACTGGAGCTTAATTCAGAAAGGCACGAGATGAAATTTATACTTGAACTCCAATTGTTATAAGTTCGGTGCAGTTGTGTTGACTTGTAACGTTCTAGTGGCGTCCGCAATCTTTACAAATTTTGTTAGAAATGGGAAAATTAGATTTAATCAAACTATCGTGATACGTTACTTATAAAAAATAAATGTAACAAACGACTGCATTGTCTACAGGTGTGATAGAAGCATAAATATCTTCAGAAAATTCTTACCTGCGACACCGGCGGAATAGGCTTCGCAGATTTCGTAGCCCCCATCTCGTGTTCCTTCACCGGAAAGCTCTGTAAAATTGCTTGATATTTTGTCGCTTTTCAATACTAATAGAAAACATAGAAAAAAACTATGATAGAAATTGCGAACGACACACGACAACGATGAACAAAAATGACTAATTCTGTAATTCAATCAATAATTTAAATGAAAAAATAAGGTATTCCAACATTATAACAACCCAAAGAAAATAACAGAATATGAACCCTAAGCAGCTACAATCCAGACGGTAATAAAGGATCATAGTGACGTCAAGTAGCTAAAAAATTCGTTATTGACGTCACGAAAATGTTACATTCGAAATTAACACGAGGCCGAGCACCAAATTACAGAGGCGCAAGCGGTATCTGCCATTCGAGAGAATCCCAAATATTTCTATAAATATGCCCGGTCAAAGACCAAAATCAGAGCCTCAGTGGGGCCTCTTGAGAAATAACGATGTCCTTGTTAGAGACAAGGGCATGTGCGAACTTCTGGGAGCTCAATTTGAAAAAGTATTCAGCGAACCCCGATACTCAAGACAGGAGAATGAAATTGGAGTCATTCAAGAACTTCCAGGGGAGAGGGAGCTGATGAACATTGAGTTTGAAACACCGGATCTAGAGAGGAGTATCCAAGAATTATCTACGTGTTCGGCTCCCGGGCCAGATGGGGTCCCTGCAGTGTTACTGAAAAAATGTGTCGGTGCACTAAAGGTCCCTCTGACTTTGCTCTGGAAAACATCATTGAGAGAAGGAAATGTTCTAAGTGACCTAAAATTAGGGCTAATTACCCCTCTCTACAAAAGAGGCGCAAGAGACAAGCCCCAAAATTACAGGCCGGTTACATTAACATCACACGTAATCAAAGTATTTGAGAAGGTTGTTGCCAGAAGGTTGGTGCAGTACATAGGAGACGCAGACCTTTTCAACAGAAGGCAACACGGTTTTAGACGAAATCGTTCCTGTTTGTCTCAGTTACTGGAGCATCACCACCAAATCCTGGCCATGCTGGAGGAGGGGACCGGGGTGGACGTGGTGTTTTTGGACTTCGCGAAAGCGTTAGACAAAGTTGACCATGGAGTGCTCTTCAGAAAATTAAGACTGCTGGGAGTCGGAGGTGAATTGCTGGCATGGATCCACAGCTTCCTAACAGAAAGACTGCAAGCTGTAGTTGTTGGAGGCTCGAGATCGAGCGTGGATAGGGTGAAGAGTGGAGTACCACAGGGAACGGTACTCGGCCCAATCCTCTTCCTCATCCACATCGCCGACAGAGATGTGGCAGTGAACCACGCCACTGCATCGTCATTCGCGGACGACACCAGGATATTAATGACCATCACCGACAGGACGGACAGTGAGAGGTTGCAAGAAGACCTTTCTGCAATATATGACTGGGCCCTAGTGGACAACATGCAGTTCAACGGGACCAAGTTTGAGGTCCTGAGGTACAGAGGAACCGGAAGAGCTGGAATGGATCACCGCTACCTGGCACCTGACAACTCGGAAATCGAAGAGAAGCGACTCGTTCGCGATCTAGGAGTGTTGATGAACAATCAGGTCAATTTTGGTGATCACATACCGGCAATAACCGCAAAAGGTAGACGACAGATGGGGTGGATCTGACGGACGTTTAGAACGAGAGAAGCGGAACCGATGATCACACTCTTCAGAGCCCCTGTAATACCCATCCTTGAATACTGCTGCCAGCTCTGGACTCCGTTCACACTAGGCGCAATACGGCAACTGGAAGGAGTCCAACGAACCTTCACTTCCAGGATCAGAGGGATGGAGAAGTTTAACTACTGGGAGAGGTTACAGCGACTAGGTCTGTACTCACTGCAGAGGACACGGGAGTGGTATGTCATTCTGTACACATGGAAAATGATAACCGGAATGGTGCCAAACTTCGAGAGCGAGACTTTCAGGATTAAGACGTATCACAACGAGAGAAGGGGGAGACTATGCAAGATCCCCCCCCTACGTAACAGATCCGCAGTCAGATTTCAATCCCTGCGGGAAGGATCACTTTCCGTGGCAGGGCCAAGGCTGTTCAACGCCCTATCAAGGGATCTAAGAGAGGGGGAGTTCACCCTGGAGACCTTCAAGAGACAACTGGACGTGTTCCTGAGCACAATCCCAAATCGACCTCCCCTGCAACACTACCAGCGGCGAGAAGTAAGCAACAGCATCGTGCATCAGGTGGCCCAAATAAGGGCGGATGAACTACTACCTTACAATACTACCTTCTACCTCACAATAAGTTCTACTACCTCACAATACAGAACGGGATTTCTAGAATTTATCAATTGCTGGATCTTCATGTATATCATGCCAAATATATGACCAAGTTCGTTTATTCAGATATATAATTGACTTTGTTGAGCGGCAAGAAATTGAAATACTGTAAATGACAACTGAATACTGTTGTCATGGCGATGGCAAGATGGACATGGAGAGTGTTGCACTAAAACAATTAAATTATGGAAATATTTTTTTGCATGGTAATGAAGCGTAAAATTAAGCAATGTATATAAAAGGTGTGCAGCTGATCAGGAAAAATTACTATGATAAGTGGATAATGAAACAACGGATTTTGCCTCAATCTCCTGTCATTAATATAAAATAAAATATTAATTTAACCACTGTTTGGGAATCAGGTTCTGTTCATTGATAGAAACAACGAATCTATGATTATTGTTGAAAGAAATACAATTTCTAAAATACCTATGTTGAATACATTAAAATATTCAATGTATCCGAAGACAGTTTAGTATAAATTTTCAATTCAATCCAAGATCAATTAGTAGAGATATTACGCAAGCCTGTAAACAAATTTATTAAAAAATAAGATACTAGACAATTTTTTCCAAAACAAATCCTTAGCAAAATGTTCATTATGAATCAGGAAACATGTTTAAAATGGTTTGGGGAAAATTATAGGTTGTTCAGCAAAGACATGGATAAAAAAACTATTAACATTTTCAGATGAAGTTCCATTTTGAAAAATAAAATAATAACCAATTTTTTACGTGACATTTTATAACTAAATGTTTCTAGAGACTAAAAGAATATGGAAAACATAGTTTGAACCAAATCGTGAGGCTGAAACCTGCGATACAAGCGCAAAAAGGTGAAACTCTTACATATACAGATTATATTGGAAAATAAATTTATTGAAGCCAATAGAATCAAGACCAAAATACACTAATAAACAAACAAACGCCCAATGTATTCATACTTCTTTGAAAGTTAAAGTTTTACAAGAAAATGGTTACATGGTGGAGACAGCAACTACTGCAATGAAGAATGGTATGAAGAAGATATACCCAACTTATGAAGAAAGAGTACGCAACATACTCAATTGCTCAGCTGACTAGTCATACCAGCTTGCAGCTCACTAGTCATACCAGCTTGCGGCTAACTAGTCATGCAAGCTTGCGGCTCGCAATTCATACCAGCTTGCGCTCTGCTAGTCATACCACCTAGCAGCTCGCTAGTCAAACCAGATTGCAGCTCGCTAGTCATACCATCTTGCAGGTCGCTAGTCATACCAGCTTGCAGCTCGCTAGTCACACCATCTTGCAGCTCGCTAGACATACCAGCTTGCGGCTCGCTAGACATACCAGCTTGCAGCTCGCTCGTCATACCAGCTTGCAGCTCGCTAGACATACCAGCTTGCAGCTCGCTAGTCACACCATCTTGCAGCTTGCTAGACATACCAGCTTGCGGCTCGCTAGTCATACCAGCTTGCAGCTCGCTAGTCACACCATCTTGCAGCTTGCTAGACATACCAGCTTGCGGCTCGCTAGTCATACCAGCTTGCGGCTCGCTAGGCATACCAGCTTGCGCTCTGCTAGTCATACCACCTAGTAGCTCGCTAATAAAACCAGCTTGCAGCTTGCTAGTCATACCATCTTGCAGGTCGCTAGTCATACCATCTTGCAGGTCGCTAGTCATACCATCTTGCAGGTTGCTAGTCATACCATCTTGCAGGTTGCTAGTCATACCAGCTTGCAGGTTGCTAGTCATACCAGCTTGCAGTTTGCTAGTCATATGATTTCGCGACTTTCTCTTCATATCAACAACTCGAAAATTTTTGGTAAGCATTCCCATCTCTGCCTTGAATAATATATCAGAAATTAGTTTCTGAGCTATTGCGCATTTTGAGCTAGGAATGTCTCTGAGTTTATAAGCCACATATTTTCCAAAGACCTGACAAGCATCCTCAGCCTGTGGTGAGTCAAGTTTCTTATTTGTTAAGTTCATAGTGTCAGTTGTGCTATCATCATTTGCAACTTTCTTCCTCATACAAGTTGAAGAGTTTGATGTAACATGGGACAATGCATTGCTGGAATAGGGAGTTGATGGTTCGGAATGAACAGTCGCTCCAATGCGTTCATTGTCAGTATCACTTGTATGCACATCTTCTTCTACCTGCAAATGATAAACAATTATCGTTCTCTGCAATTTTTATTCTCTTGGGGATTCTGGCTGTTGTAATCGGTTTGAAATTTTTGCTTTGTAATTTATTAATTTATTTTTCAGTTTATATAAAGTGAAGAGGAGTGACTGGAAGTTACAGCTGGGATTGAAGGAATGTATACAGATCCCTCAATGTTTAACACGTTGACTCCGAAGTGGTACATATGCGTACCACGAAATGTATTTCTCCAGGACATAGTGGTACATAATTCAGGTTGCCTTAAATCGGCCAAATCTGAGAACAAAAAAGGCCAAAATCGGCCAATAACTCAATATATACTAATTTATTTGTAGGTTCTACTATTAAAATTCCTTTTATTTTCTTTTTGCAGTATTTAAAATTTAATTAGGAAGTACCCCTATAGCTGGCTAATGCAATTGAGAAAAACTAAATCACGGAATTTGTCCAGAAAAAAATGACCGTCTGGCAACCCTGTTTAAAAACAGTACAAAAAATGAAATAATAGTACAAGATGAAGCAATCATAGTCAACGTGTTAAGGTCAATTGATGGAAAACATATAAGAATTGCGATCCATCAAGGAAGGTGCTATTGTTCAATTAAAATGGCTCAGAGTGCTATTTTGATGGCCATAGCAAATCCTAATTGTGAATTTTCAGATTCTGTTGGATTCACAAGCAGTAGAATCTCTTGGAAGTCCTAAAAACTCAAAATTTTACATGAAGCTGCAAATGATTCAATAATTCCAAAACCCAGCTGAATTTGAAGTTTAAACTGAGTTTCAGTATATATGTTTTGTTTGAAAATCCTTCCTTTGTTTGTGAATATTTTGCTGTGCATAGAGAACTCTCTTAACTGTATTGACTAGAAATATTAACTAGAGAGCAAATGATTCAATTACTGCCAATCTAGGGAGAGATGACTTGTTGAGAACAGAACATGTGTGTAATTTTGGTTTCCTGATTTCATGTTTTCCACGCAAGTATTAATTTGAAGATGAACCACCTTGATACTGTAGTACTTGGATGTTGTGCTTTACACAATTTTTTGTGCAGCAGGTCTAAAAAATTACATCCCGCCATAAAACATCGTCTGGAAAATATTTCTGAACAAAATTAGATGAAAGATATGCCCCAGAATTATTACACAACCTACAGAGTGCAACAAGAGCCCAAATTTTGACTGATGCTATTGTAGTAGGAGAAAATTTCAAAGAGTACTTCAACAGTGAGGGGTTTGTTCATGGCAAGATTAACCTCTTTAAGCCATAGAAGTGGCATTCAAATAAAGTAATAAAGTTATTTTGAAAAATTTTTTCTGGTGTTATGCCAAGTGATTGGTCAATTGCACACTTTTCATTTTCATTCCTGGTATTCCTAGACTGCCTTGGTGTTTCCTGTTCATAGGGGAAAATTACCAATCGATACATCAGAGAAATGGCTGGTAGATTTCTCCCTTGATCAAAATGATTCAAGGGGAGTGCCTTGGTATGAACAAATTTTTTTATCTACCAACAATCATTTTGAAACTTGGTACACATAAATGTGCTACAACATCGAGATATATATCATTCGATTCATGAAAATCATACCTAGCGATTTACCAATTGAGTACATAATCCAAATTCATATTTGTTTGGGTGGGGGACATTCATACTACACTACTGGACATTCGGTGTTGTTCAATTTTTGCCTACCCCCTTTTTTGCAAAATATAATTCAAACTATAACAAAAGGAACAAATCAATTGATGAATTGATAAATCTTAATTTTGCAAATTGAATGGCATATTATCTCTGTAGCTTGAAAATTATAGGGAGAGATAGATTTTTAAGATGGCATATTTTGGAAATTTTGATTGTTCAGGGGAGCCGAATAAGTAAAATTTATTGCAAAAAGAAAAATATGCCCAAAAAATTGATTGATATTGTAGCCCAATATTCCAAATTGCCAATTAGTTGCATTTAGGGTACCAGCATACGTCTTTAGACTTATTCTTATTCTTTAGACTTATTCTCAAGTTTAACATGAATAATAAGCTATAAATATATATATATATATTATATATAAGTATGGTTATTGTGAGACACATTTGTTAAGAGTTCCCAAAAACCATGTTGCCGAGTTGTTTGATCAAAAAGTTACTCATACTTTTTTGGCATATTGTGCAACAAAATGTTACACAATTACTGTCTCGGAATGTACCAATGTTGCAGAATCTACCTATGATTAGTATTTGCTAATAGTGTGATACAAAAAAAGAGGAACGCTATTTTGCGACATGTTAATTAACAAAAATCTCATTAGGGTAGGGTTAGAATTAGGGTTAGATGTGTGAAAAATGTTTTTTTGGACACTTTTTTAAAATTTTACTAAGGTTAGGGCCAGTCAGGAAAGGTTCTTTTATGTTAAATAACTAATGGAAAAACGTCAACTAATAATTGTCGCAGTATTACCAATGTATATATATATAAGAATTTTGAACAACTACCGGACAAAATTGGTAACATTACCAGGCAGGGGTTAGAAAACCAGACAAAATCAAGTCCGGTTATTAACTCTGCAATTAGTTTGTACTTAAAAACCGGACACGAAAATAAATGAACTACACTACCGGACATTCTAAAAAATGCCAATCTCGTTAGGTTAGGTGAGTATAAAACCCTTATTTACATTGCTTGACACCTTTCTACTAAGGTTAGGTCCAGCCAGGTTAAGTTCTTTTTACTTTTTTTTAACAATTTTGCTCATGCCACTGGGCCAAAAATATGCATAGTCTGGTAAAGTGCAATTAATGTTACTATATATATATATATGTTTATTTATATTAGTTCCAAACAAACTAATGCAAAAAACATTGCATGTACATCCGTGGTAGTTGCTTTCTTGAATGCGCATCGTTTTTAGCTTTGAAACGAATGCAAAAACTTTGCAATTAATGCAAATAATGATTATATACATCATTTTTACTGAAAATTTGTAAATATTATTATTAAATGGTCATTTTATAAAACTTCAAACCAGCTTTACACAAAAATTATTGCATGTAGATCCATGGTGTTAGCTTGGTTGATTGCGTCTTGTTTGTAGCTTTCAAACGAGTGCAAACACTTTTCAATTAACTAGAATAATGATCTATAAATACAGGTTCAATGTAAAGAAATCTTTGTACATATTGTTGAAAAATGCTCATATCTCTATATTTCTGAAATTGCTTTATTCAAAAACTTGAGCACGCACAGACATGCAGTTTGCTGCATTAGCCGTGCCTTTTCAGCAGCTACAAAATGAGCCAAGAAAACTGAAAAGCCAAAATTTTTTTTTATTTATTGACAACACGCTCCCCTTAATTGAATTGCCAAATCTATATGAACTACATTTCTGAGAGAATAATTTTTAGACAATGGTCTCTGTGTATGATTCTATACAATGTACACTTTTGAATAATCTTTTTTACAACTCTTTTTTATGAGCCCTTCTGCCATCAATTCATTTAAATTATTGAAATCTAGAGTCTAGACTAGCCTTACTAGTCAGCCTCTTTCCAAAATATGGTTAACTTTTTCTAAACCTTCTCCACATACTTTTCTTTCCAATCTTACAAAATTCACTATTAGTAGCACAGGCCATAAAGAAATGCTGAAATAACTGGAAATTAAAGCTGTAACAGATTCTACAACAATGAAACTTGATCAGTACAATGAGAATGCTTGCCAGGGGAAGGTACTTTCTTACCTTACAATAGCACCAGTCCTGTCTTAACCATATTTAACTATATTTTGAAAAATTATTTGCTCGAGTTTCAACAATAAACATGAAAAATATCTAAATGGTTGAATTTCTCTATTTTAAACAAAAGAATGATACATAAGAACACCCTCATTTATCTATTATGAGCAGGATGCCCACTAGCGATTGTATGAAATTATCCCAATCCAAATACAAATTCAGGTCCAGGCAATATCCTGACATAAGTTGGTATCCTTCCTGGATATGCTCCTGAACAGCCTTAAGTGGTGCTTGCCAAGGCATGAATATGGACTAGATAGTTTTGAGCTAGATAAATTCTTTTTCAACATCTTTTTAACACGATAGCTCTAGAGATGTAATCATTTTTCAGAAATATATCATGTCTACTTTAATACATTGTGTATATAAACTACTCACCGGTGGCAGATCTCCACTGGTCGAGGATGGACTCCTAGTAGCATGGGATGATGGCCCATGAACTTCTCCATATGATGGACCGCTGGCATCAGGATCTACTGGAGTATGGGTTGTCATGCTCGACACAGTTGTGCGGTCGAGTTTGATGTAACATGGGACAATGCAGTGCTGGAATAGGGAGTTGATGGTTTGGTTCTTATGTATTATTCTTGAAGGTCTCTGTAATATCCATGGTTGTTAAATTTGCACAAGAAAACGATTAAGATAGAAAGGAGAGATGACAAAGTCAGATCAGAAATGAGAACCAAGGAGAAGAAAGCTGGATTCAAATTTCAAAAAGGTTTTACAATATAAAATAGCTTTTTGTCATTGGTACTCACTGATGCCAGCAGTGCACTGTCAAATGCAGAATCTGGAGGCCCTCCTTTAAACTTTTTTTGTGGGGGACCCTGTAAAGTGCAATGAGATTATTTAAACATGAAATAGCTTGCCTGAATATGCAAGTGAAGAACTGCCTGAACTAGAAGCAAATTCACAATGCTGATGCAATTAGAACATGTTGAAATTGGGGATATATACTGGCAGTGAATGGAGTGCCAGTATATGAATGGAGTGCCAGTATATGGCAGTGCCAGGAATGACTACAAAACGAATGGAGAAGACATAAAAAACATATAAGAAAGATGTGAATTGCAGGTTTTAAGTCCACATCAGTAATAAATTCCTCAAAAAAACTTCTAGTTTTTGGAAAAGGCTACAGAAAGAATAATTTGTTCTGTAGCCTTTCTCACTGAATTTTTTGTTAACTGAATAAATGTTCACATACTCTCACTATATATTTTTCCATGTAAAAAATGATTGGGATTCACTATATATTTTCTCCATTGTTTATGCCATGGAGCTATTGAAGAAATTCGAGATGAAGTATAAAACAGTTACATATAGTGACTTAGAAGTAGTTTATTATATAATAGAGCTGCTTAACAGTACTGTTTCATTTTCCATTTGATACTTACATGAAAAATAGTCCATGTTATCTAAAAACTTTTTTAGTCTCCCCCACTGAAATGCAGGAAATTATTCCTATTTATATTAACATTTGACTAAGCTTACATTTGACACTCACCGTATGTAAGCTTGCATTTGTTGGGGATGAAAGACCTGCCAGATCTGCCAGTAAAGCATCGGCTTCATCACAGGTTGGGCTGTCATCTGCATGATGTGTGGTGCTTGTTGAGTGATGGCCATTTGTTGATGGGTTCTGCAGATACAAGGATATCAAATATGTTCAAACAGAATATTTATGAATATTTTGCTTCCTTACCTTGTTTGTGAATATTTTGCTATGCATAGAGATCTCTCCCCAATCAAACGCCAAGGTGGGCAACAATGTCGATTAGTGTGGGTTACTGCAGAATGTGGAAGATCCAGCCACTCAAGGATTTGGAAGTCAAATTTCCCTAAACAATATATACAGATGCACGGCAAACTCTCGACTGTGGTTTAATCATTGCAGATAGAAGTAAATGAAAGTGGGCGATTTTTGAGAGCCAACTGAAAAAAATTCATGCGCAAATTTGTCAATTGTCTATTCAATATAATAGGATAATGAATCAGAAATTGATTTACATGTTAATTGATGATTGTCAATTATGATACATCAATCAGTTGTTATTGCTTATTGCTTATATTGCGCAGTTAACAAAAATTGATGGTCCTCTATTCATTCTCATAAACTTCACTTCTATAGTTTTATCAAGTTCCAAAATGCTATGCTGTAGTTTTCTATTGGCCGCTATCCCGTTTCTAAATCACGTTAAAATTTGGTTTTCATTAAATAATTCAGGATGATTTATTTATCAGATTAAAGGTCAGTTCTCTATTAACTCAAATGACTATGTAAACAAGAAATTCATAAACGCATATCGTTTTAGCTCAATCTTTAGAACGTAAATAACATTCTAGGTCGTCCGTGTGGCAGCATCTCAATGTTACTAATAACTTGAAATTCAAATAACTTAACTGAGCCCCTTGTCTGTCATTAGTTTTCACTGAATAATTCAGCCTGCTGTGAAAGAGTTTACTTCTAAAATAAATACAACATAAAATTTGATCACACAATTATTGAAAAAAAACTACCTTCATACTTTGGATAAACATTAGTGAAAAGTAACTTGGTCATCATCAGTTGGCAGCCATTGTCATTTTCAGTTGGCAGCCATCTGTCAGTCAGCTAGCTTCATAAAGTCATAAAGCTGGTAGTCATAGTCAGTTAGCAGTCATAAAAAATATCATTTCAAAAAAGACAAACAAGCTGAAAAAAAATAAAAAAAATCACTAATCCTGAACTAAATGATTACCAATCACTTTACTCACTCAAAAGTTTATCATAACTCCACTTCCGTGACCCTTGAATTGTAGTAGAGTTACGTTCATCTTATTTCACGCAACGTACAAAAAATTTTTTGGAGGTACCATCATTTGGAGTTGTGTGCATTTAGTGGACTTGCCTATGCTGCACTCTCAAAAATTAACTTGCACCATAAAATATTGATTGAAAAATATTTCAGAACAAAATTAGATGAAAGATTTGTCCCATAATTATTACAAAACCTAAACCTACACAACAAGAGCCCAAATTTTGACCGATGCTATTGTGATAGGAGAAAATTTCAAAGAGTACTTCAACAGTGAGGGGTTTGTTCCATGGCAAGATTAATATCTCTAAACCATAGAAGTGGCATTCAAATCTAGTAATAAAGTTATTGAAGAAAGTTTTTTTTGTGTTCTGGTGGTTGGTCAACTGCAAACTTTTCATTTTCATTCCTGGTATTCCTAGACTGCCTTGGTGTTTCCTGTTCATAGGGGAAAATTACAAATCGATACATCAGAGAAATGGCTCGTAGATGTCTTTGCCAGCCCCTGATGTAATTGATTTATTTGAAATTGAATCGCCAATTCTACATGAAGTACACTTCTGAAAGAATGATTTTTATACAACTGTCTCTGTATACAATTCTGCACAATGTACAATTTTGAAAAATCTTTTTTACAACTATTTTTCATGTGTGCTTCTGCCATCAATTCATTTAAATTATTGAAATGAATACTCATTAGCCATCCCCAATTTATTTTTCATTATATGTCTTTGATTTGACAGGTAAAATTCATGGAAAATTGTCATATACATAATGCCGTAAATTCTTGGAGAAACTGCCATAAACATTGCTGAAGATGAGCCATTGTCACCAGATGAATTAAAACTGGGAACAACTGATCAAAAAATTGGGACACTGTCCACACCGTCACCTTATAAAGGCAATTTGCGGACATATATGGTCTGTAGCTGAGTTACTGTGCAGTTTTCATGTTGTGTTTTGAACTGCCCAGTCAAAAGATTGTATAGAACGCGAGTCTAGACTAGCCTCACTAGTCAGCCTCTATGATTAACTTTTTCTGAACCTTATAAACATACTTTTCGTTCCAATTGTACAAAAATTCACTATTAGCAGCATATAGCATAAAGAAATGGTGAAATAACTGGAAATTAAAGCTATAACAGATTCTGAAACAATGAAATTTGATTGGTCCTATGAGAATGCTTGCCAGGGGCCAGTACTTTCCTACCTTACAATAGACATGGTCTTGTCATACCCGCATTTGACTATATTTGGAAAAATTATTTGCATAAGTTGCAACAATAAAAATAAAAATATCTAAATTGTTGAATTTCTCTATTTGAAACAAAAGAATGATATATAAGAACACCCTCATTTATCTCTTATGAGCAGGATGCCCACTAGCGATTGTATGAAATTATCCCAATGAGAATACAAATTCAGGTCCAGGCAATATCCTGACATAAGTTGGTCTCCTTCTTGGATATGCTCCTGAACAGCCCCGTGTGGTGCTTGCCAAGGCATGAATATTGACAGAAGCTTTGAGTTAGATGAAACGTTTTTTCTACATCTTCTTAACACGATAGCTCTAGAGATGTTTTCATTTTTTAGAAAAATATTACCTATGTCTACTTTGATACATTGTGTATATAAACAACTCACCGGTGGCAGATCTCCACTGGTCGTGGATGGACTCCTAGCAACATGGGATGATGGCCCATGAACATCTCCATATGATGGGCTGCTGGCATCAGGATCTACTGGAGTATGGGTTGTCATGCTCGACTCAGTTGTGCAGTCGTCCATTGAAGGTCTCTGTAATATCCATGGTTGTTAAATTTGCACAAGAAAACGATTAAGATAGAGAGGAGAGATGACAAAGTCAGATCAGAAATAAAATCCAAGGAGAAGAAAGGTGGATTAAAAACATTAAAGGTTTTACAACATAAAATAGCTTTTTCCCATTGGTACTCACTGACGCCAGCAGTGCACTGTCAAATGCAGAATCTGGAGGCTCTCCTCTAAGCTTTTTATGCAGGGGACCCTGTAAAGTGCAATGAGATTATTTAAACATGAAACAGCTTGCCTAAATAGGTAAGTGAAGATCTGCTCTGAACTGAAAGTGAATTACAAATGCTGATGCAATAAGAAACATGTTGAAATTGGGGATAAATAGTTAAATACTGACAGTGAATAGCTTTCTCAACAGGAATGACTACAAAACAAATTGAGAACACAACAAAAAACATAAGAAAGATGTAAATGGCAAGTTATAAGTACACATCAGTAATAAATTCACCAAAAAAACTTTTTGGAAAAGGCTACAGAATGAATAATTTGTTCAGTAGCCTTTCTCACTGAATAATTTGTCAACTGAATAAAATGTTCATAAATTTCCCACTTGGTGTAGTTCAGCAGAAGCTTTTCTTTTATGCAGGTTTGATTGAAGACCAGAAGATGCTTTTTATTAATAATCTTCTTATTTATTTTTTCATTGAGTCAAAAAAAAATTCATGCCGACAACCGGAAAAAAAAAAACAAGGTAACAAAAGACATTTCAATAGATTGCAATGTTTCAAAAATACAATTTTTGTTACCAAGCTGGTGAAGGCTTTACAACACTTGATATTGAACTTTGGAAATGACAGTAGTACATATCAATGTTATAGTGGAGACAATTTAAAATATTAGCTTAAAATTACTCTGAAATTAATTTCAATGTCAGAACAAATCCGGTAGTTTGGAGGTTGATAGCTGGAGACTGGCTCTTGATAATGAGGGCCTCAGCTATCGCCAGTCGCGATGGGTCAGTGCGTCGCACGCATAACTATGCTGGTGCATGCCTCCAATGCCACTCGGGTGATGGTCTCATTGAGGAGGCTCACAATGACACCATCACCCAAGCAACATTGGAGGCATGCACCAGTATAGTTATGTGGTGCCCTGACCCAACAAGACTGGCAATGGCTGAGGCCCTAATTATCAAGAGTCAGTCTCCAGCTATCAACAGGGTTTGTACCAGTATTTAGAAAAAAATTCCATGACTTTTCCATGACATTTCCATGACCATCAACATAATATTCCAAGACTCTTATACGACAGGTTGAGCATGACTGAAAGACTAACTGTGCATATTCTATCGTCAACCTACAGTTGATAAATAACAAACGTGTAAATGCATAGCTCTTCATGGCTCTTCAAAGCTGCTTCCCCCATATTTGACACATCTAAGTCTTTCGAGCACAATAGACATATTGCCATATTTCCAAAGTTAAATTTCAAGTGTTGTAAAACCTTAACTGGCTTGATAATGAAAATTGTATTTTCAAAATATCTCAATCCATTAAAATGTCATTTGGTAGCCTGCTTTTTGATCTCTCGGTGCCAGCAAGAAATTTTGTTTTCAAGACATTGAAAAAAAAAATAAGAAGATTATTAATAAGAAGCATGCTCTGGTATTCAATCAAACCTGCATATTTCTCACTGTATATGCTTTTACATGTAAAAAATTGTTGGGTTTCACTACATCCTTTCTCCATTGTTTATGTCATGGAGCTATTAACAAAATTCGGGATGAAGAATAAAGCAATTACATATAGTGACTTAAAAGTAGTTCATTATTAAATAGAGCTGCTTAACAGTACTGTTTCATTCCCCATCTCATACTTACATGAAAAATAGTCCACGTTTTCTAAAGACTTTTTTAGCCTCCCCACTGAAATGCAGGAAATTATTCCTATTTATATTAACATTTGACTAAGCTTACATTTGACACTCACCGTATGTAAGCTTGCATTTGTTGGGGATGAAAGACCTGCCAGATCTGCCAGTGAAGCATCGGCTTCATCACAGGTTAGGCTGTCATCTGCATGATGTGCGGTGCTTGTTGAGTGATGGCCATTTGTTGATGGGTTCTGCAGATACAAGGATATGACATTTGTTTAAATATGATATTAAGCCAAAATTGCTCATAATTATGAAGGAATTGTCAAATACAGCTTATTATCCTAATAAAAAAGTCTGCCCAAGGCATTTTATGGAATGAAAATACCTCAAAAACCTCAGTAGCTGTTGATCCAGAAGTTGCAGACTCAGGGTCTGCTACATCTTTAGCATAACTGCACTCTTCTGTGTTGTGCCCAAATTGGTTGCAATAGGTGCATCGCTTCCTCTTTGGTTTCTTCTTTGGTCCCATCTGATACACGGTGAAATTCAAAATCAGTAAATGACATGAATTGTGAAATACCTTAAAATATGGTGTAGCAATGAGCAGCAAAGGAGGAATTGTGCTATTTCTGACACATTCTAATCTGGAAAGTTTTATGCGTTAAGTGTTGATATAGCAGTCACCAATTTTTGACATTAAAAAATTTTACTTTTCTAAACCACTCGACCACTTCAATGATTTACAATAGAATTTTATTATCTAGCAGAGAGTACCAAACCCACAACTAACTGCTTCAATGTTGGTAGCTCTGAACTTAAACTACTTAGCCACCTAGCATATACAACTGTCCAATGTGGAACACAATTGAGTTTGTACATGAAGTGATGTAAATGAATGAAGCATAAGCAATTAAAATGACCAATGACTGCACCATCTTTTTAGTCTCCCATTTTGAAACATAGTAGTAGTAGTTGAACAGACAAGTGTTACCATAAAATAGGGTAACTTAGACCGGTGGGGTAACTTAGACCACTTTTCGTTTTTTTAACAAAAACCCCCACAACTCAAAAACTATTTGACATAGAAAAATTTTGTCAATGGGCATTAAAGGCCTAATACTGAGGCTACATAACACAATAGAAAGATTTAAAAAGTTTGCATAACTAATGGGTTGAAAAATTAAAAATGTGACCCATGAAAAAAAGCTATTATTTAAAGCCTGTCAGAGTACCCCTCCAATTTTTTCTATTTTTTGGTAAAATAACTCCAGGTTTTGGTGCATTGTAGTAGGACTCTTCTAGTTACATATGCAAATGACAAATTTTAGGAAAGTGTCATAGTTTGCAAATGGGGGGCGCCGCCCCCAAATGGGGTAACTTAGACCAGCTAATGTCAGCCCTGACGGGGTAACATAGACCGGCTTGGAAGTTAATATAAAATTACCATTTATAACATATTTTATGTTTGACAGCCTATCTATGTTTTTTCTTAATGTTTCAGACTCTACTGAGTCTTATATATGGTAATTTTAACTTAATTTCCAAGCCAGTCAATATTTACCCATCAGGGCTGCTATTAGGTAGTCACATTTCCCTCATTATGGGGCGGTGCCCCCCCATTTGCAAACTATGACACTTTCCTCAAGTTTGTCATTTGCATATGTAACTAGAAGAGTTCTACTACAATGCACCAAAACCTGGTGTTATTTGGAGTTATTTTACCAAAAAATATAATTGATTTTACCACCCAGTCTAAGTTACCCCAAGAGCTGGGGTAACAAAGACCATCACTTTTTTCAAAATTACATAAAGACTATGAGAGGCAGGAGCCAGCAATTTATGGTGAGTGGAGCTAGAGTATAGACCTGTATTTTGCAAGTTTCAATTCAAGTTTAATTTAGCTAGTAAAAAAATGGCATAATTTATAAAAAATAAAGTGGTCTAAGTTACCCCATTTTACAGTATCTTAGACTGGGTGGTAAAATAAATTATATTTTTTGGTAAAATAACTCCAAATAACTCCAGGCTTTGGTGCATTGTAGTAGAACTCTTCTAGTTACATATTCAAATGACAAATTTGAGGAAAGTGTCATAGTTTGCAAACGGGGGGCGCTGCCCTTGAATGAGGGAACTTAGACCACCTAATGTCAGCCTTGAAGGGGTAATATTGACCGGCTTGGAAATTAAGTTAAAATTACCATATGTTAGACTCTGTAGAGTCTGAAAAACATTAATAGGTGTATCAAACATGAAATATGTTATATATGGTAATTTTAAATTAATTTCCAAGCCGGTCTATATTACCCAGTCAGGGCTGACATTAGGTGGTCTAAGTTCCCCCATTTGGGGGTGGCGCCCCCCATTTGCAAACTATTACACTTTCCTCAAATTTGTCATTTGCATATGTAACTAGAAGAGTTCTACTATAATGCACCAAAACCTGGAGTTATTTTACCAAAAAATAAAAAAAATTGGAGGTGGTTCTATGACAGGCTTTAAATAATAGCTCTTTTTCGTGGGTCACATTTTTCATTTAACCTATTAGATATGCATACTTTTCTATCTTTCTATTGTTACGTAGCCTCAGTATTAGGCCTTTAATGCCCATTGACAACATTTTTCTATGTCAAATAGTTTTTGAGTTTTGGGGATTTTTGTTAAAAAAACTAAAAGTGGTCTAAGTTACTCCGAAAGTCTAAGTTACCCCATTTTACGGTATTGATTGTCAAAGTAGCAAGTTGAAGTAGTTGCCATTTTCTTGGAGTTGGTAAAGACATGATGCAATTCTATAATATAGTTGAAATAAAAAAATTGGCATTTTGAACCTATCATCAATGTTTATGGACTAGTCAACAGCACACTAGCACCACTTGCAATCAATGTCAATAAACTCTTATAAACCATCCATTTGAGTGGACTGATGGGTTCTAAAAGTGATATTGAGGGATGAATATAGCTAAATTATAATTTATATAACAGGTATATATAATAGCAGAGAAATTTAGAAGTTTTTCAATGGTAACAGCATTAAAATCCATGTGGTCATATAAATTTATTTATTTTTTAGGAATATAATGACTCAAAATCTGACTTCAATTTGTACTTTTATTTTTAAAAAATTAAAATTTGCTATGGCTGCTTTGCTGGTGCTGCCCTACAATGCTATTTCTTGTTCATTTAGTACACTGTTTGATGTTATAAGAGTTGGTGCAAGTGTGCTGTGGTTTGGTCTGTAAAAGAGCATTGACTGGTTCAAAATACAATGTTCTTTTATTTTGCATATAGAATTGCACTATGTTCTGAGTTCTGCCTGATATTCTAAATTGGCCATATGTTACACAGTTTACTTTGAAAGATGCAAATAGAGCCTTATTGCCATTTGTAGGTATGTGCACAAATCACGCACATATATAATAAATAGTAGTGTAATGGCGGACTGATTAGAATAGAGTTTCGTTAATTTCTACTTTTCTTTTAGTCTTGATGTAGTGATTGCAACCAAAACTATGCTTATATCGATATAGGGGGTTGCGACGATAAGTATTTATATTTATTTCAATACAACCGGTTATTTCGACACCTATATTAATCTCATCAATCGCATGAATGAACTTTTCTCTCAATAGAGTTTTTATGTAAGCTATTTACTGTCAGGTTTTAGCATGAGGGTCGGCACATTGAACAAGTTCTCACGCTGGCAGCTACGACTTGACAAGGAGAATGACACACACATTTATCTCCAACTTCATATACTAAAAGAGAAAACACCCTAGCCTAGTTACAGAGCTAGTAATGGTGAGAATGATGAGTGCACAGGCTTGCAGAAGAATCAATCCTATCCTATACCGATGTGGGCATGAGACAACAACCTCAAACCTAATTACTAACAGGCCGGGAATTATAAATTGAAACTAATACCACGAGAACTGAACAAAGGTGGCTACACGAGAATGCTATAGATTTTATCAATTTAACATGGGTACATCACCGGGGATTTGGAGATGAGCCCAAGGCAGATCTGACGGCGCTGACTAATAGTATGAGCACTATGAAGTGCTCCAGGCTCCAGCCGTGTCCCTTGATGATGACCGGCGAACTTCTGATTGCTGTAACGAGCTGCTGCCGACCCGACCCTGGTGGATCTCCACGCTGGGATTTGATGGAGACTATGCAGGCTACTCTGGTTAATCTCTCGCAGAAGCTCCCTTTGTTCGATGAGGACTCGTCGGGGAAATCTCCCGAGTCAGTTCCATAATTCCTTCATCGTGAGGTGTTTCTTCTCGGCGATATTTCGTATGCGGCTGGCTGGTCTTATTTGGAGAGACGTCATGACTGTGGGTTTGTGTTATCCCAAGATAACAAATACCACAATTCTTATTTCACTAACAACATTCACTGTCCCGTGAATCCTTGTACGATTGTACACCGGCACACTCAGTTTTCGGTCGCGCTACCAAACGACATGCGGATTCCACAAGCTCCCACACTCCACTGACTGCACATCAGCCGCGCTCGCCTTATATAGCCCCAATTACGCGTAGACCCGCACTCGGTTGCTGTCACTTGAATTTTCGTGACATGTGTTTTTCCCCTAAGTCCTAGTTTCCTATTCTTGTTTATAATTTTATTCCTATTCCTAATCATCCTTTTAATGAAACACTGATACATTTCATATTAAATTGAGAAATTCAAGTTCACATCCTACGTTAACAAAAAATCTCTAGTACATGAAAAATGTAATCCACACACAATCAAAAGTGCAAACCTATCAGTAACATCGTTAAAAATCTCTCTATTTACCAGAACGTTGATAAATTGCAGTTCCGTTGAGCTGTACGTCTGTTGTAAACGACCGTATAGTACACGCACACTTTGCGGCCGTAGGTTGAGTGGCCGTACCGTTGCTGTATTCTCGCGTCCGCTTTCACAGTTGCTCTTTCATCATAGCTGTCGTATCTCGTTGATATAGATGCCACACGGCCAGTCTGGCCGTAGGTTGTTTTACAATGACCGCACTTCAGAATAGTGGCGTAGTCTTCATCGTCGATGATGTTACTTCGGCTCAATGCGGTGCTTCGGCGGGTGAAGATGAATGCAATCATACCGCTTCTTCTTGATGGAAATCGTGACCGTATCATCCTAATGATTCTTGGTGTAGAGCTCGAAACTTAGATCTTCTGATGACATGCGTTATTATCGTTGTACAACTCGTGGCTTCTTGCGTTGTCTCACGACTGAGTCGCAGCCATAGTGATGATGTTGACCGTATATGTTAAAGTCGTAGCCGTCCATTGTATATGTTTGACGCGCTCACAGGAATCTTGGCTGCTTCAATAAGTCTGAGTTTCTCGCGACCGTCAACCGTCAATGTTCGAAAACGGTAACACCGCCGGCCTGATGGCCGCAGCCGTTACGCCTGCTAACTGCAGACCATACGTACGCGACGGTCAACTCCTTAGAACCAACAACCCTTGGCGCCAATTCTGAGGTCCTTATATACGCTAGAGTTGCCCACAGTTAAGCCTATTC